AAACCCCAAAACCCTAAAACCCCTCAACCCCAATCCCATGGCTGAGGTTAGAGCCCATGGTCGCTGCCCTGCGCTGCACGCTCCACTTGCCCGAGCCTGGACCTTGGAGTTCAGCATAAACAGAATATAATACAATATAATATAGTATAATATAATACAATATAATATAATATAATGTACTATAGTATAATATGATAAAATATAATAGAATAGGACACCACTTGATATTATATCAGTACAGTGGATTTCATGATCTAACATAATAGATTGTTTCCTCTGGTAACGGGTTAGGGTTTGGGGTTTGTAGAGTTGAGGGTTGGTGGAGTTTAGGGCTCAGGGTTTTTAGGGTTTAGGGTGTAGGGTTTTAAGGGTTTAGTGTTTAGGGTTCGGGTTTTGGGGGTTTCGGGTTTAGGTTAACCCAAATGTAGCAATCACTCCCTAAACAGTGGGTAAAGCGCATAAAGCTACGGGTACTTGGGGGTTTAGTTAGCCCACCCCCCAAAATGAGCCCGTTGTTACACATGAGGGACACAAGGAGGTTATAAAAGTCCCTAAATCCTAAACCCTGAGGGGCCCAGATTTTGGATCCCTTAAAGGGTCTGTGTAGAAGTTGGGGCCGGCAGTGTAATCAACAGGGCTTATGATGCGTGTTCGGGGCTTGAGGTCAAGGTTTTAGGGTTTGGTTTAGGGTTTGGAGTTCAGAGTGGGGGCACCCATCCTTCGCTGCCATGCAGAAAGTTGGCATTCAATCATTACAATGTTAATGCGTTTCCTGTCACAACCGCAGCATAGACCCGCAAAGCTCGCCTACTGATCAGCCGCACTCCGTAGATTCAGCCACTCCCTAGACAATTTGCACTTTCGGGGCCGCCAAAGCAGACAAGAGAGTGTCTTCCTAGAGATGTCGTGGACTTGCTATCCGATGCTCAGAGGCTCTAACTCTAAGTGCACATTAGCTGGGTACTTGGGACTTTGGTACTATAGATCAGTCATCGTAGCATGGGGCTTGACGGAAAAACGCAGAGGCCTCAAACTGTCGAATGCGACGGACCCTGGGAACCTGACCCACAATTTGTAAATCCATGAACCCTGTCTCCATCAAACCCCAAGCCGGAGCCCTACCTGTATTTTCAACTTGCTACAGTTCGGTGGTAATAACCCCAGAACTGGATCAATGTTAGGAATCGTTTATCCTATTTGAGGTATGGGATTCCTATGCTTATGTAAAAAGGGTCCTATTTTCTTCCTAGGCTAATGTGGGCCAAGACAAATTGATAGCTACAAACCATAAAGCTGCAGGTAGTTGGGCCCTTATCCAGCCTACCGGGCCGGACACCTAAAACACGCTTTGCGGAGATTCTCCCCTGGTACTGGTACTCAGCCTCCTGATCTGCGAGCAAAACGCCGAATCGGAGAGTCTCGAATGATAATGAAGCAGCACACTCATGAGAGATCCGTTACAACCTCATAATATGCTAATGGCTGCCGTCAAGGTCGCCGTCCCCAAGCATGATTAACGCGGTTGACGGTTTGGAGTTGAGCCATGTCCAGACCCGATATTCATGGACACATTGAAGCCAAAATCCTGCTCTTCCGTAATCGCAAAACTCCAATTTTTCTAGACTCAGCTCCAGAAAGCCTCCCTTCTCCACTTTGAACCTGAGGAAACCTTGAACTTGACCTTAAGTCTGAATTAGGGTTCAGGGTTCAGGGTTTAGGGTTTGGGGCCAAGGCCACCAGATGCCGCTGGCGTGCCATCTGCGATGCTGGAGAAGCTCGGCAGCTTTTTCTCCCATGCCTCATGCCTATAATTCCCATATAAACCCTACGCGGTTGGGGGTTTAGGGTTTGCTCATGCCTCTAGTTCTTATGAACCCTATTCACGCTATGTGGCCCTTCATATAAAACCCATTACTTGAGAGTGAGTGTGTGGATCCCCTTAGTCCCTACTAGGCAACCTTCAAAATCTCCCCATACTATTTCCATCCCTAAAATCCTGGGCAAGTTCCTGGGGTGCATGGTGGGCTTAAGGTCGAGAATTCAGAGCTTCCGTCGGACCGCATACTGGGCCTAGGGTTTAGGGTTTAGGGCTTAGGCTTTAGGCTTTAGGGTTTAGGGTTTAGGGTTTAGGGGGCTCTCTTGCTGAAGATGCTTTGGGGAAGTCCTGCTGGTGAGCCGCAAGCCCTAAACAGGGGTAGCTTTGAACACAATGTGGAATTCTGGCTCCCCTCAGTTCAGGGTCTAGGAGTTTAGGGGTTTAGGGTTTAGGGTTTAGGGGTAATCCTGCAGAATCTAGACAGAGCAAGTTTTATAGGGCCCCCAAATCTACTCTGGCAAGCACCCAGCTGTTGCACTTGGTTGTCGAAAGGGTGCCGTTGGGATGTTGCTGGTATGTGCGGCTTGCATTCAGCATTACCCTAAACCCTAAACCCCTAAACCCTAAACAGCATTTGCACCTGTAATCCAGGGTGTGGATGCTTGGTAGCCAGAGCTTTCCGGTCACCATATAACCCCAACATATACCCTATTATGATATAGTCTAGTAGTTTCCATCTTATGTTCCATTATCCCGATATATTCTAGTAGATTATAGTAGAACTTTCCAATATAGCCCCAACGTGCACCAGTTTCCGTTTTATTTTCCATAATCCCAATACATTGTAGTAGATTACAAGCCCTAAATCCTAAACCCCTAGAATATCCCGAAATAGCCCTAATAAAGTGGTGGGTAGACCACCTGGCTTAACAACTTCAACAGTGAGGTTTGCAGCCCCCCAAGATTGTTGGTGTAGGGTTTAGGGTTTAGGATTTAGGGTTCAGGGTTGAAGTCAAGCCCCAATGTGAGGTGCCCGCCAAACATCCTATCGGCTTGGGAGCTTTGATTTGGGATCGCACGATGGAATAAGTCCTAAATAGTAGTTTCCGTTTTATCGTCCGTTATCCCAATATGACCCCCAATATAACCCTAACAATACACCCATAAGCTACAAAAAAAGGGGCGCTCGATTCACTCTCCAATGATCATCGCCATCTGGGCTGGAAGTGGCATGGCTATCGCAATGCATAGCAACCATTCTATTGGGCTGTATTGGGATATGATACAATAATATGCTATAATAAACTGGGATCATGGCAAATACAATGGAAACCATTATAGCGGAATATAGTATATATTGGGTTTACAGGATACCGCACAAGCTGCAGTCAGTACTTACGCAACCCACTTTAGTCTACCGTAGACACCTGCAGAGCCTGATCTAGTTCAGTACTACAGCTAACACCAGATGACTTTGAGCTGTGATCTTTCAACTTGTGCATGGTTTAGGGTTTAGGGTTTAGGGTTATTGGCAGGCATTTGGCTCGGGAGCTACCTTCACATCAACCCCCAAACCTCCTGCCTTTGCGAGCCAACTTAGCACTTCTACTGGACCTTAACCCCAATATATACACTGTTATGATATAGTAGTTTCCATTTTCTTTTCCATTATCCCAATATAACCCCAATAGAACCCCTATATAATCCCTATAATTCCTATAGTTTCCATTTGATTTTCCATTATCCCGATATATTCTAGTAGATTCTAGTAGAAAAAACTGCAGCCCCTGTGTCATGGAGGCATAAAGAGCAGGAGGTCGAACATCCCTGGCACAGCGGGCTTCTAATTGATGTGACTCAAGTGCTGTAGTTCTGATCCCCTTGGAGTCCCCACCTCAACCATGATGACCTGCCCGAGCGCCAGAAAGCGCTTAATAGTCCAAAAAGGTATTGTAGGGCAGGATCTAGTTGCAGGTTCTTCCGAATGGACGAAAAGGAAAGACAATCCTAACCAGTATAAAGGGGTGCAAAGAGGGCACTACAAGGATCACTATAAGGATCAGTTTCACCACTCCCTGCTGACAACCAGCAAGTTAAGCGTTGTGCGCCTTTCGGCGAAGCGGCCATGGGATGCGGCGCCTCAGCCGGGGGCGCCATGTCCAGAGCTGGCTCTGCAACGCAGAATGCGCCCCTTTTCCCCTTTTTATTTGGGGGGTCTCCTTATTAAGATTGAATATTAGGAAAAAGGGTACGCTGCTTATTGATGGGTTACTGGGGAACCTAGGCATTCTGGTGCAGCAGCCAAACTTGCAGAAGCCTGGCGAGAGCAAAACGCGAGTGTCGGCAGCAAGAGTAGCAGCGCCCCTAGAGGTGATGGTGTCTATGGCAGGACCCTGATGTCTTCAGCTGTCTGAGGGTTTTGAGGTTCCGGTTCTTGTGGAATTTGGGATTTGCAAGATTGGCACGGGCCTTACCAGACTTCCCTTGTAACTGTAGTGTCAGCCCTGAACATTCACCAGGACCCTCCAATGTGGTTTCTTTTGTGTGGGTTCGGCTTGTTTGTCATGTTTCTCATTCAGATCCAAAAGGTACTTCATTGGAGGCAAATAACCCCTATAGAATCCGTACCGAACCCGCTATCACCCCTATATAAGCCTTATATAATCCTTATAAAGCCCGTATAGAATCCTTTTATAGGCCATATATCACCCCTACATAAGCCTCGTATAATCGCTATATAACCATATATACTGCCTATACAATGCCTAAATAACCCTATACAACCACCATGTAACCCTTGTCTCATATCACCCTTATATAATGCCTATATAAGCATTCTATAACCATAGGAGGAATTCACAGGATCGTGTACCTCCGTTCAGATGCTGACCTAACCACCGTGACGCTGGTGGACCCTTCGCGCCGAGTGATGCTCCTGGGTCACGGCTCAAGAACTAAGGGTCCGGGGTCAGGGGTTTAGGCGTGTAGTGGTTTAGGGTTTAGGGGCTGTTTAGGGTTTAGGGCTTAGGAACTATTATCTCCCCATGGGCAGTTGCTTGAAAGCCCTAAAAAGAGTTGCGGTTCAAGAGCTACGAAACTTTTACGGGCAGTTGATCACGAAGCCCTTAAAGCCTAAACCCTAAACCCCGAAACCCCAATTGCATGGCCCCCAAGAGGGATCCTTTCATGGATTCCACCGGTTTGGGTTGGGGTCTCCAACAGCAATAGTACTAATTAGTAAGAGTACTAGCAACAGAAATAGTCATACTAAGTGTAATAGTATTGTACTAGTCATAGTAACAGTAATAGTGTTAGTAACAGAACCCTAAACCCGAAACCTTAAACCCTAAACCCCAAACCCTAAACCCCAAAGCCTAAACCTTACACCCTAAACCCCAGATCCTAAACCCCAATCCCCAAACCCCAAACCCCCAAACCCTAAACCCTAAACCCCAAACCCTAAACCCAACACTCTAAAGCCTAAACCCCAAACCCCCAACCCTAAACCCAACACTCTAAAGCCTAAACCCTAAACCCCAATCGCCAAACCCCAAACCCTAAACCCTAAACCCCAAACCCTAAACCCAACACTCTAAAGCCTACCACCATGGGCTATTAGACCCTAAAATTCCCTATTAGGACCCTATTAAGGGTAGATTAAGGTACCCTTAAGGTCGAATAGCCCATTGTGGTAAACCCCTAAACCCTCCCCAGGTTCGTGGCCGACGGCACATCCTGGGCAGGGAGGAACTTCGGCCTCGGCGCCCGCGAGATTTTGCTTCGCAACGGCGTCCAGGTTTGGGATTCCTGGGTTAGGTCCCTTTAAAGGGGTTATAGGGGTTATATAGGGGTTATATAGAGATAATGGAAAAGAAAATGGAATCTACAACTATATAGGGTCCAAGGACCCAAAAAATCAGGTTCCAGGGCCCAAGTACTATACTATTTATGGTATTTGGGCCCTAATATATATGGGTCCTTGGACCCTTAGGGCTGGGTTAGGGGTTCCTGGGTTAGGGTCCCTTTAAAGGGGTCCAGGGAGTGAAAGGAGTAGGGTTTAGGTCCCTTTAAAAGGGGTTTAGGGTGTGATTAGGGTTTAAAGTTTAGGGTGGAGCTTTAAGTCCCTTTAACGAGGTTGAGGGGTCTCAGGGTTCTTGGCGGAAATGTCTGAAGCCTGCACGCGAGGAATCATCATGTATATAAACCCATTTCATTGTCTGATATATTTCAATTCTGACCCAGACACAGGCGGAGTGGATCGAACATGAGATTACAAAGGGAACCCGCTTTAAGCTCGTCTTCTTCGAGGATGACGGGATGATTTGGAAAGCAGACTGGGATGGAGTGGAGCGCGCCGTGGAGGCCTTCCACCCACGAGCGGCAGAGAAGATTTGCCCGCACTGGGAGACTATCCGCATCTTGGTTATTTTATAGGACTTGGGGTCTAGGCTCTGGGCCTTAGACACGATTTCGGTATTTTGCTGCATCCATGGCAGCCGTTACTCGGCCGCTGCCTTCCTTGGAGAGCCTTGTACAGAAAAGATACCATGGGAACATGTCTGGATTGATTCTGATACGCCTGGTTCATGTTGGTTACAGGTCGCCAAAGAAGGGGCTGAGAACGTAGAAGCAATTTTCCCATCCCACCAACAGACCCCAGACCCTACTTTGAGGCTCAGGGAGACCTAGTAAGCAGGTTAATAACACGTATACCCCACATTGTAACCCTAGTTATCCCCATTATTAACCCACTTATTAAGTCCTCCTGAATCTCCCACTAAACCCTACAGGCCCTAGGCCCTAAACCCTAAACCTTAGATCCCACCTCCAGACCCTATGACCCTAACCCTATAGGCCTTAGATCCTGGACCGTGATCGAAGGCAACACTTCCTGGGCCGACCTGGAGGCCCCTCCTGGCTTACTTGCAACCCCGATTACCTACAGTTTTATGGGTCAGGGAGACTTAGTAAGTAGGGTAATAACCCCATAACCCGTATGGTAACCCTAGGTATCCTAAGTATTAACCTACTTACTATATCCCCACGACCCTCCTAGTACAGTTTCGTGGTTAGACCTTAGGAGAAAGCTGGGGAGTGAATGTAGATTATTACCGACAGGGGAGTTTGTTTTAGGTTTTGGAATCAGGGTTTGATTGGGTTTAGGGTTTAGAGTTTAAGGTGTGCATCAGTGGAGCGGGGCTTCCGCCTTGCCTTTTTACGGGAGGAATGCATGCTGCTGGCGGGGAGAAGACGCGCACAAAAAAGGCTGCGGAAGCGAGCCCCGTCCATGCGGCGATCAAGAGGCATGCTACTTCGGCTGCTACATAGACGACATGCGAGCATGACAAGAGTTTTCCAAGGAACCGGACACTCTCGGCCCGGACGCCAAAGTGCCCGGCGGTCCTGAACGCAAGGCTGCGGAATGAGAACCGCGTGTGGAGTCCTGGCAAAGCCCGGGAGGCCGGCCGAGGAACAGCAGCTCCCGCATTTTATCAAGCAAGCGTTGTGGCAAGGAGGAGGACCTGCAGAAAGCAATCGAGGCATCGCTGGTCACACTTTCACGTGGACCCTGGAGACTACCATCCGCCAGAAGCTCAGACAGAACAGAAAGCCTCGAGCGTATCCATGAAACTTGCCATGCGGCAGGCTCGGGCGAGGAAGCGACTCAAAAGATGGTGGCGGTAGCAGCAGCGCAGCCTGAGGTTTGTGTGATGCCAGCATAAAAAAGTTAAGGCCTGGACACGTGTCTGTGGAGCAGCGAAGGAGAAACGGGCTGCGAGCGGGAGGACCCCTCGTAGAGGACTGGGTAGAGTCGAGAGGCCTGGCCATCTCCTCAGACCGCGAGACCCTGCACTGGAACAGCCACGGAGATTTTGCTGCGCGTGGGAGGACCCCTTGTAGAAGGCAAAGCCATCTCCTCTGGCCGCGAGGTGGAGCAGACTCAAGGCAACAATGGGGGCTACGGTTTGATTGTCCCGAAGTGCGCAAGGCACCCCCAAAATCGAGCGAGCCCTTGTTGAAGCCATTCAAGGCCTGAGGCTACGAAGCTCCGGGGAGGCAAGGCTGTGGGGAGCACGCGTTGGTCTTGGGAGCTTGGAAGGAGTGGGGTTTTCAGGGCTCCAAGAGGTCTGCAGGACTCTTCCAAACATTGGGAATTGGGGCCCTTTGCAGGGCCCAGCTTTGATATGGTGCCAGGGCGGAGGCCTGTCCCACGAGGCTCCATCGCCCATGTACATGGTCAGCGCCGCTCTCGCCAGTTTAGGTTCACGGCTAGGGCTCCACTCTTCACTTCCTACCGGGCACCGCTAAGTTTATTCCCAGACCTTCCAGGCGCCCTCAGTGATCCCCCACCCAAAAGACGGGCCAATGATTATATAGGGGAAACTAAAGGACTATCAAGGGCTCCATTTATTGGACCTTGTAAGTGGTTCTCGACCAAGCACCTCAACCCCTAAACCCGAATTTAACTTACTGTTGTTGAGTTCAAGAGCTCCAGATGAAGTTGGTATTGCTGACTACTCGGGGTTCGCTGAGTCAGTGCTTGGGCCCTCGAGTACGCTGTTTGGTGTTTGGTAGTCTGTTTGGGAGTCTTGTTGGGCCCCATAAAAGCACCTTGGAAGGTCTGGGTAAGTTTTCAGGGAGCCCAATACCCTTTCAAGTAAGGAATATTCCTTGACTCATTGGGGATTTTAGTATCATGTGAGCTATCGTCTAGACCCCTTGAAGAGGCTTATATAGGGGATTATAGAGGGTAGTACCATACGTGTTACTAAAGGGGATACTAGGAGTTTAGACTATAGCTCATGTAGGGTATATTCCTACATTAGGCCATGTAGCGCTCGCTGGGTTACGGACTCAGGCCGCAAAACCTGCAGCCCGAAGTCAACACCTCAATCCTCAAAAAACAGCAGTACGATATGGAACCCCCCATAAGAAACATACATATTTTTATTTATATATATATATTTATATGTATATTTATATATACATATGTATATACACATACATATATACACCCTCAACCCCCCCTTCCCCCGGCTGCAAAAATGAACATCATCACCCCTAACAGAATACAATCCATAAGGTCCGTGTAGCCCTCCCTCTTGAGGTTCCTGTCATCAGGTTTTTTAGGGTTTCGGGGCTTAGGGTTTAGGAGCTGATGTTATCATTACGGCGGGCACGTGTAATTTCCAAAGCTAGCGTTCCCCTCTTTAGCTCGCAGCGCACAACGGGCCAGGTTGTTGAGGTTCCCTTGGAGGGGCGGAAGATGTTCAGCAAGTCATCTTACTAGCGGTTAAAACGGTTAAAAGGGAATACAAGAATATAATCCCTAAATATTTTCTATATGCAATATTCTCTTTTTCCCTACTAACAGCGAGCAAGTCATGCAGGCTCAATTTGGGGTGACTTTCGATGTGCTCGAACAGTCTGAAGGCCCCATGACCGAGGTGCAACACCCAGGGTTGGGGGTTTAGGACTTTCGGGTTCGGGGCTTGGGGTTTAGTACTTCAGCAGGTTTTTGGATAGCCGGTAGTAAGAGTTATAGTTACCAGGTAACTAAATGCATCTTATTTGGTAACACTACCCGCGAATGCCTAAGAAGACCTACTTGGCGCGACTAGGGAGCCTGAATGGACGGGGTACTGTTTGATTGCTACATGTTTGGTGTCAGGATATAAAAAGTTGAATCAAGTAAACCGCTCCCCTTCACAATATCCGCCCCCCAAACCCCTAGTGAGTAACGAATATTCGTATCACAGCTTCTTCAAGGAGTGTCAGGAAGATGGGATTAGCCGGAAACCGAATTCAAGGGTCGTTGGTTTTGGTGGGCTGCATGCTTACCTCACTTAAAAAGCCGAAGTTGTGACAGATTATTTTTCAAAAGTTGTCGTTTATTCCTATACACTTGAGGGTTATATAATATAGATATTCTGTTCCTTATTCCTTGCTAACCACCATCAAAGCAACGTTGTCATTCTTGGAAGGCCTTCCCTCGACATTGTTTACGGTAGCTGCTCCATGTTATTGCAGGCCCGCAGGTATATGGGCATTTTCAAAAATCGGGGTCCACCTCATATGCGCACAAGGTCATAAGCCTCATCGCAGTAGCCCGGAAAGGGACCAAGTTTTGGAACCCATAAGCCTTGAGCCCAAACTCGATTTCTTCCCCCGCCACTTCCCTGACCTTAATGTTGGCCAGCTTTGCTTAAGACTGCCCCCAACCTATGACAGCCCCTACAACATTGCCCTGGTACTAGGATACTAGGAATGTGCCTTGAATGGAAGTCCTCTATGTGACATTTGCAGAGCGAGCACAGTTGTGAAACTTCTGGCTGCGCTGAAAGCTGGAATCTGTGCGGTGGGGTAGAAGTACTAGGCCCATGTTATAATTGTTTACCTGCAACACCTAAACGCTGCTAAACCGTGAACCTTTAACCCTAGGCTGCTACAACTAGGATACGAAACTACTGACAGCCCCTCCTTGACTCATAGGTCCCTCTGTTGATGTTTAGGGTTTCTTGGAGGGAGGAGTTTCTCGACTGTGCCATCTAATAACAAGCCCCGCCCATCCTTTTGTAACCTCTACACCCTAAACCCTGAATCCCTATCAGCCTGTTGTAGCCCCTAGGCTCCAAGCCCTAAACCCCCCTATCATCCTTTTGTCACACGCTACATATCCTAGGGTCCGAAACGCCCAAAACGGCCCGCTCTTTTGGAAGCTGCCCCCAGGTCCCTTACCGTAAGGGTCCAAGTACCCAATAATCATATACTTCCCCCAAATCTGTATTATAATTACTATTACCCAAAGCCCAAACCCGTAATCATTGGGTACATGGACCCTCAGGGTTAGGGTTTAGGGTTTAGGGTCATGAGAGCTGCCCTGCTAGCAACCACAAGCTTCTTTAGCCGACTCCCTGTAAACACAGCTGCAGGGTTAGACAAATTTGGAGAATCAGGGTGAGAATAGAGAGAGAGAGACAGAGAGAGAGGTATATCTATATATATATATATACATGCATATGGTTTCCCCCCATGTACCTACTTTCTTCTGTCTTTCCTGAATTACTTACATATATGGGGTCTTTGATGGGACCCGGTATTTATAGAAGCCCTCATCTTGCAGTGTAGTACAACAGAGTCCTCCTAACGGGTCAGGATGACCAGGCTATGCAATGGTGAGCGTATTTTCCTACCCAGCTTCGCAAGAAAGATGTCCGCAATGGCTTTTTTGTTCTGAAGTCGTGTGGCTGTGAGGAGCGATATCTGGCGGCGGAGGACACTCCTGTGACTGCAAGGCGCTTTCTTGCCTCCACCCTGTCTCTGAATCGCCATTTTCAGGGTGCCTTGCCAAACGGATTTAGATCAACTGGGCTCCAAACAGAGGCATGGGTTTATGGTTCGGCACCAGGGTGAAGAGCATTGGGAGTTTCGAATTGCTGAACATGTGGTTAGGTTAGATTGGCGCGCTTTAAGTGATGTCTTTCAGCTATTAAGCCTTGTGAGCAGTGGATTCCATAAAGAAAGGCCCCTTATCGATTGGAACAGGCCTCAGATGCAACAAAGTCAACCATCAGCCATTAGAGTCCAGAATGTTCGCAGCCAGATGTATGCAGTAAAGTAGAGAGTAACATAGATCTATTTGTCGAACGCAGTGGCCTCTTGTGGCTTCATACTTACCTTCTTCAAACAACGGAAAACCCGGTTGTAAGAGGACCGTAGCTACTGGTGACCTTGCTTAGGGAACCCATGGGGCTGTTTGAGGTTTAGGGTTTAGGAGCTTAGGGATTGGGGTTTGAGCTGATGGTTCTGTAGCCATAGCCTCTCCCTCATGCCATGTGAAAAGATTGTGGTCCTGGCTTTGGAGACGCACCCCATATTTCCGCAACACCTCAATGCCAAACGCTAAGCCGAAGCGCTCCGCAATGTGTCAAAAACGGGGCCCTCCATGCTCTGGAGGTAGCTGTCTGTCAAAGTTGCTCTGGAGCCCAAACCTTGAACTCTATCCTCTGAAGCCGTGCGCCCCCACACCCTACACTCCAGGTGGACCCCCCACTCAGTAGTCGTGACTATAGGGGGAATGGTGATTGTATTAGGGTCCTCTTAAATTCCTAGTATACCACTCTTACAGGGAGGGCAGTCTACCTAACCTAGAGTGCATACCCTCGACTTCAGACCCCTTGCGCCTTTGGGATTTTCAGACCTTGTTTTAGGCTTTTAGGGCAGCTTAAAGTACAGCATTTCTGCGAGTATAAGTGCAGTGGGTTTGAGTCTAGAGCATACGTGCCCATCACTTTTAAGAGGGGTCCCGTCATCGCCTCACACCCCACTACCATGAGGAGTTTCAATATCTCAGGTACAGGCTACACTTTCGATGAGCGGGCAGATTCTGGTGATGCTACTGCTGAGTTTTTTGCTGCCAACCGTCCCCTGAGCTCCCTGGTTGTAACGGCCTAGGTCATTTTTCCCCCTCACAGCAATTGTTCAGAAAAAAGTTATCAAGAAGCGACCACGACTCCTTTTACGTCTTGTGGTTTCTGTATGGAGGAATGACCTAACTAGTAGCTTACACAATAGCTCCTTCTCGATGTAGGGTCAGGGTCTGGAGCTTGGGGCTCAGGATCAAGGCTTAGTATGGTATAAGAGATTGGACATGGTTCCTAGTTCAATCGTCGGGAAATGGAGGATGTATTGCCTGTTTTCCAAAATGCGCGTTGCCTCGCAGTGAATCCTACGTAGCAGGCTTCCGTCAGCATTATGCAGGACTTCGCATGCATGATGCGTCGCAGTACAGGAAGTACGTACCTCAAGAAACCTGAGCCCTACCTGAACCCCAAAAGTATGTAGAATAATTGCCTTTCGGGCTATTTGTAGGTGATTCGGGCTAATATTTTACCTACCTTTGGGGTTCAGGTAAGCCTTAAATAAACCAAGTGAAACAACGATTGTTTACTTTTGCAGAGCTGGGCTTTACAGCCGGCTCGTGGTTTCTAACGCTAGTTCAAGGGCAGGTTCGGAGGGGTGAGTATAGTCACTACCTGGACCCCAAAAGTCTGCAAAATAATGGTCCTTATAGCTATTATAGCTATTATTATAGGTTTTGGGCTATTATTTTACGTACTTTTGGGGTTTAGGTACTCTAGAGGCTGACACACGGATGATTCTTGGGATCCACTCCCCCTGGCTACGCCGTAAGCACCAAACAAAGCGTGAACCCAGTCCTTGCTCTCTACAGGGGTAGGCTTGAGAATAGTTACTTTAAACCTTACTAGTCTTAATCCTTGTATAACCCCTCTAAAGCATTGAAAAATGATTAATGGTTATAGGGCCCCACCCGTACCCGAGTTTGTGTTTTGATAGCAGTCTGAGGGAATCTGGCTGGCCTTATGCAAGGCATACCAAACCTGAAGCCCTTGATGCCTTAGGTTTTCCGGTTTATGGACTGTAGGCTCTAAGGTCTGAACCTAACTCTACACAGCCTGCATGGCAGGCCTTCAGGTGTGCGATCAGTTGGAACCTGGTAGATGATCCCTAAACCCCAAACCCTCCTAAACCCTAAACCCTTGACCCCTGAACCCTAAACAACCTAGACCCAAGCTGTGGTGTTCTGCAATTTTTTTTATGTGCTCAGAACCTCTAGCCAGACCTTGACTCAGAGAGTTTCGGGTTTAGGGCTTAGGATGAAGTCTAGCTGTGTAATGTAGTGTTTGGTTCAGCCCTCTTCTCATCCATCAATGGCTTTTAGGAGGGACTCCAGGAAGTGACCCCTAATCCCATCACCTAGAATAACCCATGTATAATCGTCATATATCCCTTGTATAACCATGTATAGTGCCCATATTACCCCCATGTGCTACAAGAGTCCCCATTAAGGGTCCCTACTAAGGCCCCTATAATGGTTTAGGGTTTAGGGTTTCTCGGCTGGCTGGATCCTTCTAATCTGGCGGGCCCAAGACCTCATGGTCATAAACCCTTCCCCTAGTAATCAGACCGCCCACTCGCCCATTTTGATGAACATTCCCGCCATTCTGCAATGATAGTACAGGTTGAAAATGTATCATCATGAGAGGCTTCAGCATTTGGGAAGATGATTCAGTTGAAGCAAGTAGCAAATAGAACATAGGCATCACTTTTAGTTTTGGGAGCGCTTCCTTCCGTGGGTTCATGATGTCAAATCATTGCATTACTGTATCAATTACACTACGCTATAACGCTATCGTGTTATCACGCTGTCACATTGTTAGACTGATACGTTGTTATGATACTAGTGTAGGTCACATAGCTAAAAGTAATTTGAACCCTGTTAGCAGTATCAACAGGCTTGCAACACTAACCCTATGGGGTCCTTGCAGAGGATTGTAGCGGGAAAATCTGGGAAATTGCCAAAGCTAACCGCAAGGCTCTTGTGTTCTGAGCCCTAAACCCTAAATTCTATGGTTCGGTGCCTCTGGCAAACTAAGGTTCACTTCCAGCTGCACAAGTTGTAGACTTGGAGCCGTGATCTAAAAAGAAACTCTCAGTGCGCGGGGTTTGGGCATGAGATCCGTCCTTGAGCACGACGGGCATCTCTCACATCAGCTGCGCCGAACATATCACATAAACAATACAGTCAGTCCTCTAGGGACCCAAGTAGGAGTGCAAAGGCCCTGCACTGCAAAAGCCACCTAAATCTCGCAGCTTTTTTCTGGAGGTCTTGTTTTTTTCTGGCAGTTCTAGCAGAAGCTCTAGCTGTTTCCCACTACCCTTTTATCTATATCACCAGCTTGTTGAGCTCAAACCGTTACCAGTTTCGTCTTCCTTGCTTGACTTTCAGAACTGAATGCAAAGGGAACGAAACATAGAAGGCTGAATTGTTTACCAGCGTGATTCCTTGACAGCCTGGGTAAAGCTGCACTAGAACGTGGTGCGAACCCTGAGCTCTACAATTGGCACCAAATCTTGAACACCAAGTCAGCCCTGATGCTACGTTTTCTTAGGAGCGTGGTCCGACCATTGCAGAGAGTGGACCGGGCCACAGTGGTTTACGGATGCTGCATGATTCCATCCCCCCAAATTGACATGGAACGTCGCAACACGCCTTATAGAGACGACAGTTTGTTTGCATAAAGGGGGCCACATAGGCCAGATAAGGTTGCGTGTTGTTGAGGAGGGTATCAGGCTGAAGATGGTATTGGTTCGGGAGTGCTGGCGTCCACCCAGGTTATCTGGGCTAGAGTGTGTTGGGCTGTAGGTTTTATCCCCCTACTGCTCTGTGCGTTTGCTGAGATGAACATACTTGGGCTTGTGGCCTGAATCCTTAATTTCACGTGTGCTGTATGTATGCATATCAGGGAGGGTGGTTTAAAGTAATGGGATGCAGGAGGTCTCGCAAACATGTGCAGTTCATGGGTTTCAGGGCTCAACTTCTTCAAAGTTTTAGAGCGCTCATTGGTGCGCTCTGCTTCGCATTGTAGGAAAGATCACCAGGGTACAGGCTCGAGGTCTCCACGGTCATTACTGGGGCTTGCAGTGTGCTAGGGTTCCGCGACATCTTTCTTGCAGTTCAGATTTCGAGGAGATAATAAAAACAAGGTGAACGCGTACGCACTTGATCTTGATCACCCAAGGACTTGGCTTTCTGCAGACCGTACAACCCAGACCCAACAACCCAGACCCAAAAGCAAAATGCACCTTGACGCCAGACAGCACCAGCCTTGCAACTTGGCCCTCCTACACGAAAGTCCTGTGACAAGCCTTCTATTCTAAGACCGTCGGCTGACCGTAATACCATTACACTTGCAAAGCTCGCTTCTCTGCTCCAGCATTTCTTGTGTTCCATGTTTCCGGAAGCTTTATTTACACCCCAACCCCAACACTCCGCACGGCTGCATCCTCCTCCACCACCGGTGAAGCACTGCCCGGTTTATTCGAAAACGTGGTTTTGGGCCTATTCAACTCCATACCGGGAAACCTTAGTTCAGTTGGGTTTTCTCCGAGCTTTTTTCCAGAACACATTCGTGAGAAAGCTTGCGACAGCAAGAAAAGGTAGGAAATCATATAATTTTTTGGCTCCAAGTAATTAAGTTTCGTTTCTAATTTAGTACACGATGATCCTAACCTCTCATGGTCATCATGACCCCAGTGGTCTGCAGAACCCACCTGTTCATTATTGATACCCCCGCTTGGTGACACCTGTAGGAGTAGTCTCTCAGCGTACCTGGCGTCCAGACTTTATTGCTGATATTACCATTGGCATATTATGGAGTAAGAGATTTAACTCGCTCTAATCCCAGTTGTTTTCGTAGCGCACTAAGTGGAATACGTGGTAATTACCATCCTTCAAGTCCGAAGTGCGCAAGGGACGGTTGTGTAGCCTTTAACCTCACGCGGTTGCGGTTTCCCCAAACCCTAAACAGGACAATATCCTAAATCGTATTTCCTAGACCCTAAGCCAGGTCTCCCAAAAGCTTGTATGATACCCGGAATCTCCAGACCATTGACCCTACACCTTACGCTGTATCCCCAAACCCTGTATTCCAAACAGACCCTAAACAGTGTGTGGTGCTTTAGACATGACACGATGAAGGCAGACTCGGCGCCACTTCGTGATGGCTTGCGTCGCTGCAGCATTTGCGGCGCCGCCTTTGCTACGCCGCATGGGGCTCCCAGTGCAAGGGTGAGGTTTCCCCATGCTCGGAGTTTCAGGTTTACTTAATAAGTAGGTTAATAACCTTTATAACATATATAGTAACCCTAGTTGTCCCCTTATTCACCCACTTCCTAAGCCCCCCCTCCAAATGTTTTGAGGTTTGGGTTTCTCTCGAGGGTCTCCCTTTTTATAGTTAGATGCTATGCTGAGCAAGGTTTTGCAAATTGAGGTTGGGGAGTTGCTCAGACTTCTCAGCATGGGGTGTAGCGCTAGCAGGAATGTTTGGAGACTCATGCGAGTTTGTGGGTTTAGGTCTGACAACGTACCGTTCGAGGTGATGCTGTCCGTGATGCCTCAAAGTTAATTGGCGGGCACGTTTGTGGGACCATGCGATGTCTCGTGTGGGCGAGTCCCAACATCAAGGACTCGGACTATCCCCTTATCGGAGCCTTATCAGGTACTCCACGCTTTTAGGCAGATCCAGGATCTTCATTCTAGGTCCGCGGACGCGATTTTGCAGGACGAGTTTGAGGTGTACTAGCCCATTTGTGCGAGACCCATGTGTCAGGACATGCGCTGCGCATCCCCAAAAACAACGACATCTGACACCTTGTGTCCGAAAATATGCTGGGTAACATGTCCTTGTAAACCTAGACTCCTCCAACTACTTTTCTGGTTTATGTAGCTACCATATGGCGCTCTAAAATCTAAAGGTTAGACAGCCCCAGTTGAGGGTACTGGAGTAAGTGCGGATACCTCTTCTGCAAGATGTGCTGGCAAGGTGGGTTAAGAGGTCAGGGTTTGAAGGGGTCAAGGCGTAAGGGTTTAGGGTTCAGGGACTCGGGTATGGGATTTGGGGGTTTCGGGTGTAGCCAGGGGCATACGTCAGAGTTTCCTGTTTGGGATCTATATTGCTCTTGGGGTTGAGGACCCTAAGCCCTATATACCCTAGACTCGAAACCCCAATCTGTGAACCTCACACACTAAATCCTAAGCGCTAGACTTTAAAGCCTACACCGCGAACCTACGGGCTTTGAAGGTGGATACATACCAACGTATAGTTTCCCTTAAGTAGATAGAATATGGCTTTGGGTATACCATAATAAGATCCCCATATACCCCATATTCTATCTGCTTAAGGGGGACTATATCTGAATGAGGAATTTCACACAAAGCCGTAGCCTTTTGTGCCTCGCTACCTGCCAGTGGGCTACGAGGGTGTCCAGAGTCACGGGCGGCTGCTTTCCCCAGGTCGTATGCGGCAGTGGCAGAGACAATCTAGGAACCCTTTGTGGAAGCACGTCTGCATGAATCTTAGATCCGCAACCCTAAACCCTAATCCCTAAATCCTAAACCCCTGAACCCTAAACCCTAAACCCCTTCTCCCTAAACGCACCCAAGCTGCGCAGCGGCCTTCAGGAGTAGCTGACATTACTCCTCCCCTCCAATCCTTCACCCCTGTTCTGGATCAATGTTAGGGATCCTTTAAAGGGGGATATAGGAGTTATATAGGGATATTATAGGGATTTATAGGGTTTACGGATCTGTGATATTTTTGGGGGGTATGGAGTTCGCTATAATCATGTAAAAAAGGCTCCTTTTGTCTTTCTGGGGTCATGTGGGCTGAGTGTTTTTGAACATTCGCCATTAGTAGTTGCCCAGATATGTTGGGGGCAGATTGGCATGGTGTTGTTAGGCGGAGGGGTTCATCTGACAGTGTTTAAACATGTTGGGCTTCAACCGTAAGTTCTGGAGTCCGCTGACAAGCCCGTTGCAAGCTTAGGACACTCTTGCTGAGGTTGAGGATGCGCGATCACTTGCGTGGGCGGCGACACTGCACTGTGAGGGGCCCAAGCCTCTACAGATCAGGGGTTGAGGCTTTACATGGAATAGCAGGGTTGTTCAAGGATCAAGGTTTGGAGTTAGGCCATCTGGGTCTAGGTTTTGCAATTCCTATAGGGGCCCCCAAAATATTTTCAATGTTGGGCAATTATAATCCCAATGCCCACCATGTTTTTCATTTTTTAGTGGGATTCTGACGCCGGTTTAGTTTCGGGGTTTGTTGGAACCGAGTAGATTGGAGAAGCCACAGCCTCAAGAGCAGCGTCTCACATAAGCCATAGTCTAAACTCCTTGTATCCCCCTTAAGAACCCCTGTAGTAGTCCCCTATATAATCCCCTATATAGTCCCCCTTTAAGGAGTTTAGACCCTAAACCCTAAACCCATATAACCCCCCTTTTAGGAGTTTAGACTATATATAGTACACATAACTTTGATTTTCCGGCCTCACGTGGGCCAGCCTACCCCGGCAAGACATGCAAGTGTATAGTGTACCTAAACCCCAAAAGTATGTAGAATAATGGAAAAGAAAATGGAAACTACTATATTATTTAGGGTTTAGGGTTTAGGACCCCAAAAATATGTAGAATAATGGCCTTTTG